AAGAGTTGACTCACTGGAAAAGACCCTGATGCTAGAAGGGATTAGGGGCAGGAGGAGAAGAGGACAACAGAGGATGAGATGGCTGGATGGCATCACTGACTCGATGGACATGAGTTTGAGTAAACTCCGGGAGTTGGTGATGGACAGGGAGGCCTGGCGTGCTGCGATTCATGGAGTCGCAAAGAGTCGGACACGACTGAGCGACTGAACTGAACTGACTGAATAGTTAACAAAAACATTCATTCAAAATGGTGATTCAGAAGGAACCAATAAAAAACAAAACACAAGCCAAAAACTTTGAGAAAGAGACCTGCAAAACATATGTTGGAAAAAGCACTTTTATGGGGAATATATAAAGATGTCTTACAACCAAATAATAAAAAGACATACAACACAATTAAAAAACAGGCAAAAGATTTGAATAGATAGTTCACCAAAGAATATATGAGTAGAAAATAAGCCTGTGAAAAGATGGTCAAAACCATTAGTCATTACTGAAACACAAATTAAAATCACAATGAATCACTGAAGAGCTAAAGTAAAGAAGACTGGCAATACCAAATCTTTGCAAGGATACAGCAAACTGAAACTTCACGCACTGTAGTCTGCGAGGCTCCTCATCCATGGGATTTTTTAGACAAGTGTACTAGAACAGGTTGCCATTTCCCACTCCAGGGGATCTTCCTGACCCAGGGATCAAACCCATGTCTCTTGCATTGGCAGGTAGATTCTTTACCACCACACCACCTGGGAAGCCCTATTATCATATGACTCCGGAATTAAACTCCTAGAAATCTATCCAAGACAAATGAAAACAGATATAGACTCTAAGACATATGCAAACATTCTTAATAGCCTAAAACCAGAAGAAAGCAAAATGTCTATAAGCTGGTAAATAAACAAAATATGTTATTATCTATACAGAGGGACACTATGCAGCAAAACAAAGGAACTAACGCTATATGCACAACATGATGAGTCTCAAGAACGTCGTGCTGAGTAAGAGAGTCAGGTACAAAAGGTCTACCTCTTCAGGTTTCTATGTAAGATTTCTAGAAAAAGAAGAGCTTTTTCACAGAATCAGTGATTGCCTAGACCTAGGATTGGGAGCAAATGTATACAAGGAAACATTCTGGAGTGATGTGAGCTGACTGTGTTGATGCTTACACAATTCTATAAACTTGCTAAAACTCATTGAATTGAGAATTTCTTAAAAGGTGGCTTTTATGGTATGTCAATTACACCTAATAAACACGTTTTGGAAATGTAGAAAATAATTGTAAGCAAAAACAAACTCGCCCCCAACTCCGAAAACTAAAAAAACCACTGTACCTTCTATTGACATCTATACACTGCTGAAGGGGGTTTAAAAAAAAAAAAAATCGCGCAATGATGGACAATTGCCACATTTAAAGTTTACCATTCCTTCCACATCAGTCAGAACTCAGCTTTGTTTGGGGCTTCCATTTAATTACAGTAGCTTGAAAATCTTGAAAAATGAGTTAGGTAAACCAAAATGCAACAGGTACCTTAAGACTGTGATAGGGTAATGTTATGTGCTATTTACTGAATGTTTCTTATAAGCCAGAGAAAATTCTAGGTAATTTACATACCTAATTATAGCTTTATACACATTATTTTCAAATTTCAGTGAGGAAACCAAGGCTCAGAAAGGTTAAATTGCCTAAGGTCCAATAACCAGCAATGTGATCCAGGATTAGGAAAACTAGTCTAATGTCAAAGTCTATATTCTTTCCACTCCTTCTGCATTGCTTCCAGTACATATAAAGTGTGAAATTTCAATAAAAGCAAGATTACAATTAGGATCTAAAATATAGGATTAAAATACAATTGTTGGTAGATAAAGAAAGAAAAGGCATGAAGAAAACAAAAATGAAATTTTTGTTTTTAGTTCAGTTCAGTCGCTCAGTCATGTCCGACTCTTTGCGACCCCATCGAACACAGCACGCCAGGCCTTCCTGTCCATTACCAACTGCCGGAGTCCACCCAAACCCATGTCCATTGAGACGGTGATGCCATCCAACCATCTCATCCCCTGTCATCCCCTTCTCCTCCTGTCCTCAATCTTTCCCAGCATCAGGGTCTTTTCCAATGAGTCAGCTCTTCGCATCAGGTGGCCAAAGGATTGGAGCTTCAGCTTCGACATCAGTCTTTCCAATGAACACTCAGGACCGATCTCCTTTAGATGGACTGGTCGGATCTCCTTGCAGTCCAAGGGACTCTCAAGAGTCTTCTCCAACATCACAGTTCAAAAGCATCAATTCTTCAGTGCTCAGCTTTCTTTATAGTCCAACTCTCACATCCATACATGACCAATGGAAAAACCATAGCCTTGACTAGA